CCCCCCCCCCCCCCCCCCCCACCACCACCACTCCCCCAGTTTCAGGCCGCCTCCACTCTCTCCGCCCACCTTTCATCTTCCGTTCCGTTTGCTCCCCGGCAGGGCCATTGTTTAGCTCCTCTAGTCCGCAAGCATATTCCTCTCCTGTCCTTTGGTGCGCCAAGTAGCTGCAGCGCAGCAGTTTTGCCAGGTTCCTTCGCAGGTCTTCGGTCGCCATCATCATGCCGTCCAGCAAATTGTCCTGCGGGCAGTCATTCACCCACTCTTCCCAAAACCGGGCCACCATTGGTCGATACTTTGTGCTTTTAAACACCCACACCAGGATTGACTTCGGAGGGTAGGACAGAATCATGCGAAATGACCCATATGGGCCCAGAGGCGCTGATGGGCCCTCTGGGTCATTTCTGTTAACCTGCCTAAGCACCAACCCCTTCAACATGTGTGTTCAGGTGGATGGACCCTTAGTTATCGTATCGATCATTTGCACCGTGGCCTTGATCAGTTCACAGGGTTTAGAATAGTCAAACGGCCTCCCGGAGTAGTCGATGAAGCATGTGCTGAAGAACTCAGCAACAAATTCTTCTTTTAACCAGTAGATCGAACCGCTGCAACCGGCAAGAGACCTGCCATCTGCAGGTCTCTTCATGCGCGTTTTTTTTTTTGTTTTTTTGTTTTTCCGCCTGAGTGACGCCACGGAGTAGTTGCTGTAGCATTTGCTGACAAAGCCTGCAACAAACTCTTGAACCAGAGGTCTGAACCACTGCAGCTGGAAAGGACCCCACCATCTACAAGTGCCTTTGTGCTTTTTTTGCAACCTCGCTACCATCTTCACCCGAATAGAACAACCGGTCATTATCACTGTATCTAGACTGGAAGTTCCGCCAAATACAGCTATGATGACCGGGCGTTCTATTCAGGTGAAGAAGGAAGCGTCCGGCTATGTCGGTGAGCGTTTCTCCTCCGTGATTTACTTAGCTGGAGCTGGCTGTGCGATGCCGACAGCCTGCGACAGGTGGGCGCCAATGGGCGGCAGACTCCGTGGAGAGTGTTCAGGCTGGCCCTTGACTGCTGTGAGCAGTGGGTTGGCTGTCACTGCCTGTCAGTGAGCACTCTCCTTTGTGATGTGCAAAGCTGGAGCTGGGAACGTAAGGTCGATAGCGATGTGCCAACCTGCAGCCAACTCTCCAAAAAGCGGTGAGGTCGAGGGGGTCCAACGCTGGGCTCTCATTCTCCGATACTGTTCAGGCTGGTGATCCAGTCCCATTTTTTTATTTTTTATTTTTCTGCGAAAACAGAGCCCCGAGGCTCCAGCTCCTTGTCCACTCCAGGGAGCATCGGTCCGGTTCCTATTCCACCGGCAAGTCGACATACAAAATCTCACAATCTAATTTCGGAGAGTCCCCTCAAAGGAAATTTTCAGAATTCAGAACTGCTGGTGGAACGAAGCCACACTCTCCAAAATTGTAGAACGGGGTGGAGCGAGACCCATTGACTTTTTATTTAAATGTGAGCTTCAATTTTGGCTTTTTCTTTTCAGGACGTCAGTTTTTCAGTGAAATTCACAAGCTGATCTATCACCCACTCTCTATGCTCAGAGATTTGTGTGCATCATATGAAACAGCAAATCAAAGACAAGCAGTAGCTGTATCACACTTCTTCTTGTTCTTCTTCATTTTGCTTTTCCTAAACCAGAACCCGGAAAACGTTCATTACCATAATCAGGACGAGATTGTTCTCCTAAGGCCAGATTAAAAAAAAAGGGGAAAAAAGGAGAAAATCAGGAAGAGAGTCCAGGTAATCCCATGAAGAGTTGAAGACCCCAAGGGTGTTGCGCTGCTCCTGCGTTTAGTTCTGTGAACATTTAGAGTTTACACAATATCACGAGTTAGTCTGATTTCAGTCATCTTATGATATATTATTAGAAAACAAGGTTGCAGGGATTGTCCGGGGACATGGAATCTGACAGACCAGACTGCTGTCAGAGAGGACGACAGCAGAGCAGACCACCTATCTGCAACTGTTATTATCCTGTCAACATTTAGTGCCAGATTCACCCTCCTTTACAAAAAAAAAAAAAGTTTCAAAAACACTTTTCAAAAGACAAAGATACAGCGCGCGCGCGCGAGAGAGAGAGAGAGAGAGAGAGAGAGAGAGAGAGAGAGCACCCACCTTTTATAGACTCTTTCCAAAGCTTATAGGCCCTAAACTCTATCTGGCGGTTATGTTTTCCATTATCAGCAGTGCCATTCATGGGCCATTCCTTTGCTCGTTTTCTACGCCCAAGACTTTTTTTTTGTGGGCGGGGGGGGTGTTTCTAATGCCCGATGCTCTGTCCGCTCATTAAACTGCAAAACAGAAGACAGCACTTGCATGCCTCCATGCTTACCTTCTTCCCCCGAATATAGCGTACGGTCATTATGGCTGTATCTAGACAGAAAGATGCCTCAAATACAGCTATAATGACCGTACGTTGTATTCGGGGGAAGAAGGTGGTCAGCAGCGGAGACGGGCTAACCAATAACAGGGCATACTCACACTGGGACTTTTTTTGGGATGTATTTGCCCGCAATTATGGCAGGCCATGGATGTATCTGACCATAATTGTGCCCAAAGGTCAGTTGAAAACCCCAATTCTCCTTAGTTTAGCAATGACAAAAGAGGGAAAACAAATCATGGGGCCTCGCTCCAATACTCACCAAATGTCCAAAATGAGAATGAATCTTCCACTAGAACATGAGAAGATACATCGCCTTATTTTTTGTCTTTTGTGCATTTCGTAAGCAGTCGAGCGAGGCACATAGGCAGCCAGTGATTGGGAAGCACAATGGAAGTCGCTAAACTGAAGAATTTTCCTTGTCATCCCTCCTGATCAGACTACCTACCGTCTTCCCCGGAACAGGAACAATGTATGGTCATTATCACTGTATGTAGGCTCAAACTTGCCCCAAATGCAGGCGCAATCACCGTACATTCTATCTGGGGGAAGACGATAGCCCTGTGGAGGTCTCTAGCATGTTTTTACTGGGCCATCACCACAGCTTTTTATCCCAGAATTTGACCCTTGGGGCCTACCGTCTTCCCCCGAAGACAACGCACCCTCGTTTTGCCTGCACCCAACCAGAAAGATAGCTTGTATACATTCGTTATCAGCGTGTGTTCTGCTCGGGGGAAGACGGCAGAGCTAGTGGAAGGGATGTTAGCTTCTTAGGGTCATGCCACACTGATGCGATTATCACTGCCACACAAGCACGAATCTGGTCACAACGTTGTCCAGGTCAGTGCCAACTTAACACAGCCATAGCACCAGTAGCGCCTGAGTCTTCTACCGCAGACCAATGCCACACAAGCATGAATCTGGCCACAATGCTGTCCAGGTCAGTGCCAACTTAACACAGCCATAGCACCAGTAGCGCCTGAGTCTCCTACCGCGTACCAATGCGACAAAAACATGAATCTGGTCACAATGCTGTGCAGGTCAGTGCCAACTTAACACAGCCATAGCACCAGTGGCACCCGAGTCTACCACGTACCAAATCCACCGACTGAACAGCAGTGGCATAGACTTCGGGAAGATGCACACCCACCAGCACTAACTATCAGTCCAAACATTGTTTTTTTTTTTTCTCCTTTTTGACTGATAATTAGGGGCCATGCTAATCTTCTCTGTATCGTTCCAATTTTAACGGATGTTCCGAAGGACAGTCAGTCCAAACATGGTTGCTGTCTTTCGTATATAAAATTTCAATTCAATAATTTCAATTTCATTTATTGCATGAGACCCTGGACCCAGTTTCCAGCAGGTGCAGCTCCACACCAATATACACGAGCTTGTTTGCTTTCCTGGGCAAGGGGAGGGGAGGGAGGAAGGGCAGGGTGGGGCGTAAAGAGAGAGGGGGGGGGGGGGGGGACTTGCTAGGGAGAATATGTACACAACCCTGCAGTCGCAGCTAATGCACTCACTGTCTGCTGTTGACAGCACACCACCAATCCCGCTAACATCAAGAGAACCAAGTATTAGGAGCAGGCCCTACTGGGGCTATTTTTGTTCTAACTCAGCAGAAAAAACATAGTAACAGGCATGAATCTGGCCACCTTTACGACCAGGTTTTGAATGGACTACCGTCTTCCCCCAAACATAACACACCCTGAAAATGAACGAATAGAAGGTATGTTTCTAGCCCGATACAGTCAAAATGAGGGTGCGTTGTGTTCGGGGGAAGACGGTAAAGTTTTTGCTAAGTCAGCACAACCAACGTAGCACCAGTGGGCTCTGGCAGTTAGAATTGACATGCATGTTTTTGCCTTTTTTTTTGTAATTAGAATAAATTACAGTAATAGAAGTGAGTTTCCCCTACCTTTATGTCGCCCGCAAAGGCCCGCTTCTGGTCATCAGACCATTTCCGAAACACTGGCCCTTCCACGCATAAATCCCCCGGCTTCCATATTCCGCACTGTTTGGCCACTGCTCTTGCGGTCCCCAGGTTATCTCCGGTAACCATCCTGACAGCGATCCCGGCCTTTTCGCATGTTTCAACAGCCTTAGCGACACCAGGACGGGGGGGGTCTTGTAGTCCCAGCACCCCGAGGAACGTTAAGTCATCCTGAGGGAGTTTCCAGGCCATGTCTTCGGCTTGCTGCAGGTCCCATGGGCAGCCCCTGGGATCAATGTTCTTGTACGCCAAGCCAATTGTTCGGAGAGACCTTTCCGTCATTCTGGAGATGACGTCCTTGATTTGACGACGTAGGGCATCATCCAGGCGTATAACGGAATCATCCAGCATTCGGAGGCTGTCGCACATCTGCAAGACTATCTCTGATGCACCTTTCCAGTGCACGCAGACGTCTCCTCTTGTGGACTTGACTGCTGCGCCCATCTTCTTCTTCTCCGAACTGAAGGGCTCAACAGCCAGGAGTTTATGCTTCTTCTTCAGTTCGGAGAACCGCCCGTTGATGTCCAAACCAAAGCTGAGAATAGCGGCCTCCGTTGGACTTCCAATGACCGTGCAGCTGGACGGAGGCGCGTCGCTCTCGGCAGGCATAATCACATCCCCCGACGTGTTGAATGCAATTCCCTCGATTGTCAGGTCCTTGGTGGCTGCACTCAAGTTCTGCACACAGGCTTGGACATTCCCACAGGAGCTGCCGCACATCCAAGCATCAACGACGGTCATTTTGTTCGATGTCAATGTCCCTGTCTTATCGCTGCATATCGTTGTTGCCGACCCCATCGTCTCGCAAGCCGATAGATGCCGCACCAAAGCACGATCCTGTATCATACGATCCATGGAGTATGCCAAAGTGAGGGTCACTGCGAGAGGGAGACCTTCCGGGACCGCCACAACAACAATCGTCACCGACACAGCAAAGATCTGAAGCACATCTAACCACTGTTCCGAACCCCACTGCCAGAACCCAAGTGGTTGCTTCCACCAGACATATCTGACAACGCTGATAACTAGTACCAGCACAGCAACGGAGGCACCGATCTGCCCGATCTTCGTGACCAATCGGTCGAGCTCTTCCTGGAGCGGTGTTTGCTCGCAAATGGTGGTGTCGACTAACGACATCGCACCTCCCCACACCGTGTTCATGCCAACTGCAGCAACAAGCATCGTGCCTGTTCCCTCCATAACCAAAGTTCCGCTGAACACATAGGGTTTCTGCCGCGCATCTTTCCGCGAAGGCTGACTCTCTCCTGTCAAACTCGACTCGTCGACGACTAATTTGTTTGAAACCAGGAGGAGCCCATCAGCCGGCACTTGGTCCCCTACACCCAGGAGCACAATATCTCCCACCACAAGCTCAGCGCTGAGTACTTTTTTCCTTTTGCCCCCCCTTACAACGTCTACGAAAACCTTCTCCTTCTCCCTCTCAAGATTGGCAAACTTCAACGACTGCTTGTAGTCGCTCAGCGAGGTAACCATCACCACCAGCACAATACTAAATGCAATGCCCAGTCCATCAGACCACCCTTCGGAATTGCTTCCGCCCGCTGTCAAACCCAAGATCACAGACACAAGGGCACAGATTGCTAGGATGAACAACGTGAAGTCGTGCATCGCGTCCCAGACAAACGACCAGAACCCTCTCATCACCTTCCTCTCGGGCGCGTTCGATCCGAACGCCCGTCGACGCCTTTCAATGTCATCCTCCTGCACACCAACCATCTTCTCAACCTTCAGAGACCGGCACACGCCATTGGCGTCTCCTAGGAATGCAAGCTGGTCCAGATTCTTGTCCTCCATCAGCTTGGCCAAGTACAATGCATCCATATCAGGGAACCCTTCATTTCTTGCTGCTGTCACCTCCGGTGCATTTTTGTCCCGTACTTTTCGCAGCAGACGGTACGCAAACTTACCGGGAGCGATATAGGTTTTCCGCCCCGATCCGAACTGACTGGAGCTGTTGCGGCTTAATCCCTCGTGGTTTAAGCTGCTGCGGCGGCTTAAGGTAGGTGAAAGGAGGCGGAACCTGCGCCGTGCGTTCAACACCAACGTAGCCTCCACAATACGTCGGGAAAGGGGCCGCGGGTCTTCACTTGGTGGTGGTGGCCCATAAGGATCCTCGACATTGACGGTCGTCTCCATTTCCTTATAGCCTCAATCCTCTCCGCCAAAAATACTACTGACCTAGTATAATACTAGAATCTAGTCTAATTTTCCTCAACCTGCACGCCAGGCACCGTCAACCATACCGCACCTCTCTGGCCCTGTGAGCGCTGGCTCGCCAGCAATAAGACCAGGAGAGACTACCTTCTGCTGATTTCAATGTCCTTGAGCAGGATCGCTGAATGCCCCATAGCCCTGCAAGGACGCACTGGCACAGCCGGGAGACGACCAAGAAACAAGCAAGGAAAGAGCTGAGGGACACAAGAGAGTGCAGGAGAGAAAGAACTTCAAAGAAGGGAGAAAATGAAAGACTGAGCAAAAATCATAGAAGTAAGAGATAGAGACAGAGTTAACAGAGGCAGAGACAAACAAGCAAGCAGACACAGAGAAACAGACAGACAGGAAGAGAGAGACAGAAATTTAGGTGAGTTGTGCAAAAGAAATAGGACAATCCTCTGGAAGAAATCAAGCGAAACTATAAATGTCTTGCCGCATGACACTCTAAGATTTGTGTTAGAGGTAACTACGGCGCAGTCACAATTTCAAGTTTTAAATGCCCCGCTTCAGTCATTCCCCCGAACATAACACACCCCCAAGGGAACCTACCGGACCCGAATCCTGCCTTGTATACATTCAACATTTTCGGGTGTTTTTTTTGTTTTTCTTTTTTCACAAAGGAACTCAACTCATTTTATTAGGTCTTTTGCCTAGACTGCATTTAAAACTTGAAACCATCCAGCGGCCTAACTCAGCTTGTAAGGCTCGCAAGTGGCACTCACGAGGTCGTGGGTTCAATCCCCATTGGCCTCATGTACCTTCCTGGGCATGCGTGGCGCCCGCCACCAAGAGATAGACCACTGGATCCCCCGATCGGCATTCAGCAGCAGTCTGCTGATATTCGTAGCGGAGGGGGGATCGTTGCCTTAGGGGTCGGCCCTGCTATCAACTCGGAGTGGACCGCTTACGCAGGGGGATACCATGCTGTTGTGGTGGAGCCGGCCCGACTTCTGAAATCCGGGGTTCGCTCGGGCGAGGACGAGGGGTATCCCAGACCACCTCCTAGGGAAAGGACATACGCCTATTCACGAAAGGGCCTTAAGGTTTTTGACGCCTCGCGTTAAGGGGAGCTGCCATAGCATTCCCCTTAGTGACCGTCTTAGGGGGCCACTCGCGTTGTCGGAGGGCACGACTCCCTGGCCCTCCTCTGTGTACCAAGCCCTGCTTGGTACCATTTCTTGTACCAGCTCCCCGTTCTGATGTTCCAGCCTGTAGATATATCCAGGGCCCCGTTGTCCCTAGCACCCAAGCTGTGCCTTGGCATGGATCAGTCCCGGTGGCAGTACCCCCGACAAAAGGGGTGCGCCACAGGACTTCCGTTGCTCCACGCAGGCTCGGCGCCCTGCTGTACAGCAGAGCACGACCGGCCTGTGGCCTTGGTGGCCTCCGGGCTCGCCCTGGGACACGGAGATGAAGGGGGTGGGGCAGTCTTTTCTACTGCGCGCCGAGTGCCCTGTTGTCGAGTTATGGGTTGGGTGCATGAAACAGAAAGTCATTGTCGGAAAAGAAAAGAGGAAAGAAAAATAAAACACCAAAAATGTAAACCCGCTTTTGTATGGGGAAAATCCAGAGGCCTCGGGTTACTGCGATGCTATGAATTCTTTTCCAAAATTTTGAATTGCCATTTTCCACCTAATTGTTCTGTCACTTCATAGGGAAGGCCGCCGATTCAGGTCTCGGACTACAACTGTCGTCTCATGGTCTGGGTCTTACCGACCCTTCGTAAAATTGCATGTACTGGACCTGTTTGTCCAAATCGTGCGGACCCCGGTGGCCAGGTTAAGACGCAGATACAGTGAGAACTAAAAAGAAAAGAGAATGGGAAAAGAAAGAAAAGGCAACCCCAGATTCGTGTGTGAGCGCGTGGCGCGGTTCAGGCAAGGCTGGTGCACGGAGAGATTTTGTAACGCCACCCTTTCCTTCCTTTTCCTTTTCCTGTGGTTATTATTGTTACTTTATTTTATTATTATTATTTAGTTTTCTAAATTTGATTTTCTACCTGTTGGCCTGCCCTTTCGCGGGAAGCCAACGGTTCGAATTTCGAACCATCTTTCTGTGGCCTAAGTAGGCCGACTCCACGTATACAGTCTGTGGGTGGGCTTCCATTAGGCATCGCGCGGCAGGACCTCAAAAGGAGGGCGACCCGCGGCCGCATTGGTAGGAGTCCTATCACCCCCTTCATGGAGGGTCATAAGCCCCCTCCTTGCCATCGGACACGGGCACCCAACAGGGATAGACCTAGGTTGCACTAAAAAAGGGGAAAATGCGATCATCGGTTCCCAGTTATGGGACCATAGTGCCGAACCTGTTGTCATATTGCTAGGGTCTGGAACTGTCAAGAGAGAGGCTAGTTCGTGATCGACCGACTGGGTTATAGGCGCGAGTGTTTCTCTGAAAACTATTCGGTTTAAATTTGCAAGTCATTTTGAAAACTGTAAAATTCCTGAAATACTGGTAAGGTCTGAAAAGGACTAATCTGAGTCCTTCGTTCAGAACGCAGAGGACAGGCCTATAAAAGGGAGAGGGAGTTGAGATATCGTCCGCGCTGCGAGTTCCGGTGGGGAGTGGTCTGCTATAGGAAGTCGATGATCTAGTGTTGTGTTGTCTATCAAGCGGGGCAGGCTACCCTGAGTGGCAATGGCTTTACACGGCTATAGGCCTGGCAGTCGGCCGCACACGGTGCGCTGGGTTCCAGTGTCGGGTGAAGGCCCTCTGATTACGACGGCCCTTAACTATGATGGGGGAGAAGTAGTCCGACTGAAGGTCTGCATAGAAGGGGGGAGAGAGGAGGAGATGAGAGGTGACCAGAGGTTGCAGGCTGCCATTTCCGAAGCGCGCGACAGGGCGAACGGAGGTGCAGGCGAGATGGGGTGACTGTGGGCTTGAGGGTGACGGTCATCTATCACGAGACCGAGTCATCAACTGGGACCGAGACAAGGGAGGAGCAACATAACGAGAGAGACTCAGGTGGGGAAAGCGAAATGAGCGAGGCGGAACAAGAAACGGATCTCAGGTCCTAGAACAGACCCAAGGAGATCCAGAAACACCACCGAGCCGCGGAGCCGGTGGAGAAGGGACCCGAGGCCAGCTCACGACAGCTGACTCCCAGGGGCCGCGGGACTGGAGGCCGCGGGACCGGAGGGAAACAGAGTAAGGGTAAGAAACGGGTGTGAGGCAAGGAGGGAGAGCGACAAGCGCGACAGGTGGCGAGGCCTGAAAGAGGAGGGCAGTCAACGAGTTCGGATGTGAGTGGGAACGAGACGAGCTTGCAGAGCGTGACTGACGTCAACTTTTTTTTTTGGAACAAGCTTTCGCGCGCAGTTCGTGAGCGGACCCAGCACTGTCGACTCCAATGACCATTCACGCGCCAGTCAGATCTCTCTCTCACGCCGCCTACAAGGGATGTCGTCATAGTCGCTCTCCGTAGTGTGTGCTACCGTCGCCTCTCTTAGTCGCCCTTCGGCGGGAAGAGTGTGAGAAGTATCAGAGAGAGTCGGACAGTGACGAGCTGAGCTTGAACGAAGGTGAAGGTGGTTGTGCACTCGGAGACGACCATTTTGCAGTCGACGCGTGGTGTACGACTCGGGACCCCGTTCCATCCAACGTTGGAGTGGTCAGAGAAGTGCAAGGCGGCTATACGGTGATTGACTACACTTGTAAAGGGGGCGCAGCGACACGGAGAAGGGGCTGAGTGTGTGGAAAAGCCAAAGAGGGAACTTCATCTTGGAGGACGCACGAGCAGGAAGAGTGCGAGCAGGGTGTGGCCACTTTGCAAGATACGGTTGATGTCAACCGCGGTCACTGTGCTCAACCGCGGTGTCCGGTGTCTGTCCAATTGCAGTAAGTCTCTTATGGTGTGGCTTGGTTAGGAGAGAAAGGGTGTGTGGAGGGAATACACACTGCTGAGCGAGCGACGGAAAGGGAGAGAGGCTAAAGTGTGCAATATGGTTGACGTCACGTTTTATTCTCGTCAAAGCGACGAGAATGATGTCTCCGCACTTTTTAGGCGGGAAGTTTGTTGTTCCTCTCTCGTCCCCATTGCAGTTCGGCCACACGTTCACCAGCAGGAATCTCGTGAGGGGATGACCTGAGAGTGGGGACAGCGAAGGAGGTCTTTTCCTCCGAGAGGACTACTGGTGCCAACGGTTTCCTATTTTCGCACTCTAGCGTGATGAGCTCGTCGTTAATGCACAGCAAGATTGAGGGAGAGAAGGTGAGGCATGAACGGCATTAACAGAGAGAAGTAGGCGAAGCATGGACTCGTTTTATCATGGGTGATAACCGACATCGGATCTAACAGTGTGAGTTGGACGGAAGGTGGGACCAAGCGTGCAAAGCTGACCGTTTACGTCCGTTGCATTTTTGTGTGACCTGGCTCTCTCTTGACGGGATAATCTTGTGACTGAACACAGACTCGGGAGGCAGGCTTGGGTATCGTATAACAGCTAAGTACGCTGTAGTGTTAGGCTGTTTAACATTGTTGATAGTTGGCTAATTGTAATCCTTATGTGGCTTGAAAGGGTTCGTCTGGATCGAGTCCAAAAGGGGGCAGCTATCGGAATAGGGGAAGCGTCGAAAGAAAAACGATGGGCTATTCTTTAATAACAATGAATTAATGACGGAAGTGTCAAATCAGCATCCCCCTGTTCCGTACTTTGGTCGTGTGTTAATTCTTTTCGCAACATTACACGATTGAGTGAGCTGGATTCGGGTTATTGTTTGTGATCCGCAAGTCGAAGAAGTTCTTAAAGAGGCAGCTTCTCCGGCTGTTGAATTAGTACGATTGGTTTTTCCTTTTCTGTTGATTATCTGGTGTGCTCAAGCTTGCAGCATACATTCATCTTATGATCAATGTGCAGGCGTAAGTCCGCCTTGAAGAAGGTTGCTTATCTCCTCGCCAAATACTTAATTGACGGGGATTAACAAAACCCTTCCCATGAGTTTACTCTGTATGGGAAGGAGAGTTATGTGGAGCAGCTCGTTCTGACTTACCCGCTTCTGAGTAAACGGGCAGTAGTTCTCAGTAAACGAGCGAGTGATCGAAAACTTGGTCGGACTGATAGGGACTAATATTAACCCTTCCCCTGGTTATTAGCATCTCTTGCAACAAATCTAAGAACAACCTTATCGAGGGTTAATGCTCAGCGTTAT